GTACTAATGTAATTTATTTAACAACTGCTTTGAAAAAGATTCTGCTTGGCATTCATTCAAGATCAGATTAAAGTGTGCCTGTTTATCTTGAAAAAGATCCCACAGTACCTATACTGAGGGTAGCATTGATTATATCTGGCATCATCAGCTCATCCAGCTGTGATAAATGCCAAGATGACTAACTTCAGTAGTGGTTATGCTACCCTCACCAGTTGGTTTCCTTTCTTCCAGAACTATTAACAAACAATTTTATCGGATTAGCTATGAGAGTCATGTGAACATTTGATGGATGCATTCTCTGAGGGTTAAGCTAGGCTTCCTGGAAAGATTTCATTTAAGCAGAACACTAAATCAGAGTTATAGCACTGCAATATCATTCCCAGAAATGCCAGCATGCAAGATAGTAATTCCAGGAAGTGAAGCAAGAGAGTGTATCTGTAACTCAGTTGTTGTGTAACAAATTGCACCTAGATTTAACTACTGGATAGAAAACATAAGAAGTAATTGGCAATTGTCATTGCCAAAGTTAGGTGGAGGTTCTGAATTTTAATGTATTCCACACCAAATGTTCAACCCAACCCCTAAGCAAGTACCCAAGAATGATTGCACTTTTGAAATCTTTATCGGACTATAGTACTTAAAAGTGCATATCATGTGCCATGCTTTTATCTAGGAAAGAGGAACTAATATTTTTATACATACATGCCATGTGTAAAATGTAAAGAAATTGTCCTGACTGTACTAAGAGTATATGTGGGAAAAGACACTGTCAGCTATTGGAACCCAGGAACAGGACATTACTGCTAGGTTTTCTAATTGGCTGGAACACAATTTAAACAGAGGTGCATTACAAGCTACTTATATAGCAACTTATTCATTCAGCAATGCAGTTTTTCCTGACTAAATTCTTCCTTCAAAATTTATTCACAAGTAATCCCATGTAGCAGTGGCTCTTAGTAATGTTCATTAAAGGTTTCCACCTTGTAAATGTAGCTTGTTTTATCCCTTACTGGTGAATACATCCAATACATTAGAGATAACAGCCAGTTTAATCTTTGAGAGAGAAAATAATTTATCCTGGTTTTTTTGTAGAAGAATTTTAATATATTTCCGGGGGGGGGGTAGTAGTGCCTATTTTGTACAGAAAAAGATTGTGTACATGCTTTTTTAACAAGGAGAAATGTTATGAGAACTGTAAAATAAAAACCATAACAGCCTTAATAAGTTAGCAATAGTAAAAAGGCAACTGAGTGAGCTGTTCAAAGACAATTATGGGAAGTTATCATCCAGCCCTCTCCCAGAAAAATGAAATATCCTAGGAAATATTGAAAAGGCAGAATATTTCTCTGGATGTGAAAAGAAANCAATGGATGGAAACTAATCGAGAAGAGAAGCAACCTAGATCTAAGGAAAAATTTCTGGACAGTGAGAACAATTAATCAGTGGAACTACTTGCCTCAGAGGTTGTGCATACTCCAACACTGGATGTTTTTAAGAAGAGATTGAACAACGATTTGTCTGAAATGGTATAGGGTGTCCTGCATGAGCAGGGGGTTGGTCTAGAAGACCTCCAGGGTCCCTTCCAACTCTGTTATTCTGTTATTGTGAAATAGAGAGACAGAGACATATCCCTGGAGTACAGAATATGTTTATAATCTGAAATCTACCACAATTGCACGTTCTTCCTAAATAAGTATATTTTAAAAATAAATTCTTTAAAATGTGTTCCCGGTTGTCAAATTGAAAATTGAAGGAAATGTTTGGATCATTGTCTATCAAAGTCAGTATTGTTTACACTAAGAAACAGTTCCAACAATTCCCGGTAGGAGGCATTTCCAGATGGGTAGAGATTGAACCCAAGAACTTCTGTGTGGAAAATGTAAACTTACTCAGAGTTTCAGCATTCCCCAAAACAATCTGAAATCTCATTTAAATTACAGCGTTAATCCCAGGAAGTTATGCACACCTCCGTTATGATTTGCACATACAAGTTTAACAATTTATTATATATATAACATACTTTACATATATCACCATTATGAGAGGGGAGCATAGCGAAGCTAGTGGTGTTAACAAAAGAATTATTGAAACTGGCATGGCTTTTTAAAAAGGTAGCTTCACAAAAAATAAGACCCAGAGTTGGAAAGAATAGCATTGAGGTACATTTTTTCGCTATCAGCTGTAAAGCTTCCTAGTTTACAATGGACCTATTTCACCTTCCTCCAATGCATTAAATTATGTTAGTAATTTTTCTTTCCAAGAATTGAATTCTAAGTCTTCATTTTTCTCTACCGCTCATGCTGACGGCTCCCCAAAGAAAACTGATGTTCATAATTTGATCCAAGAGAACACTTTGCAGTCTGTTTTAGTTTTAAATTTCATACCCCGCCTTCGTTCTCAAAACTCTATTAATACAGTACAGCGAAGAGAAACATGGATTTTCTCCATTTTTAAGAGCCACCAGCAATAGGAAGAGGAAAAGGCAGCGGCATAGATTTTAACTCTTTGCTGTTTACAAATCGAGCTCTTTTCCTCCTATGTTAAACTAAGAAAAATCACCTTAAGAAAAACGGATGTTTCTCAAGCGCTAATCAGCAAAAAAAGATAAGAAATATAGAGTGGAGCAGCTTCAAGACACCTGCGGTTTTTTGATGGCTTATTTCTTCCCTGAAAAGACCTGGAACCAACTATTAATTGCACATTTATTATTTTGGTGTTGAAGTACTTTAATAGATTTTTATTACAAGTGTGAGATTGGATATAGTACATGTGAAGAGTGAACTTTTTTATTTACTGCACTGAAGCTGCATTCTGCTTCTCTGCCAATTTGAAATAGTTTGCACTATTTCAATGGCCTTAATTGTGGATTTTTGATACCCCTTTTTATTGAAAAAATCAGTGATCAAACTGATTTTATCTGTCAAACAGAATTTTAAGTAGGCTTTCATCATGAAATTAAGGAGAAATTACAGTACTTATATATCTTCCCTGGCCGTGTATATAAAGTATTGTACCAGGGGTGGGTTCCGGCAGAGTGTGCTGCTAGTTCACTCAGGGACGTGCCACGCGCTGTGCGCATATGTGCAGTACAATTAAAATTGCTCTGTGCATGTGCAGAAGCAAAAAACAAGATGGCACCTATGGCACCGCTTTGAGAACCAGTTCGGGGGTGTGGCAGGCCTGGGGGTTCCAGCGACCAAGGCCGCCAAGGTACTACCCATTCGGCCAAACCAGTCCTGGGCTTAAAAGAATTACATTAGGCCAATGATGGCAAATCTTTTTTGGCTGCTGTGCCAAAAGCAGGGGGAGCACAGGGGAGTTGTGCGCCGGTGTGCCACACCCATGCTATGTGTGCAATCCCCCCAGCGCACGGACATGCGTGCAATCAGCAAAAAAACCCGCTTTTGCTGCGGTTTTTCCTCCTTCCCCAGGCTCCAAAGGCTTTCTAGGACCCTGGGGAGGGCGAAAACAGCTTCCCCAGCTCCTCCCGGACGTCCTCCAGAGGCCTCAGGAGCTTCCCTGAAGCCTCTGGAGGGTGAAAAATGGACCTACGGGGAACCTGGAAGTTTGGGAATCATGCCTTCCGGTTTGTTTGTAGGGCCGAATCTCTGGAGCCTTCAGAAGGCTTCCCTGAAGGCTCTGGAGGTCAAAAATCGGCCCTATGGACAAACCGGAAGGCACTTCCGATTTGCTCATAGGGGCAGTTTTTGCCCTCCAGAGCCTTTAGGAAAGCCTCCTGAACGCCCCTGAAGGCTCCGGAGGGTGAAAATCGGCCCTATGGACAAACCGGAAGTCCGTTCCTGAATTTCCGGTTTGCCTGTTTTTATAGATTGAGGTGAAGGAACGCAGGAGCCATGGATTGCAAGGAACAAGATCTTTATTACAGCAGAAGATGACAGCGATTCAAAATAGGCAAGCTCGCGCCAGGGTATTTATAATAAGCATGTAGCAAGTTAGCACCAATCAGGGGCCGAGTACTGCACAGCAACTGCTGATGCAGTACCTCGGCCAATCAGGACACACTGGCTGGTTAGCAACAGTCTATGCTGCGTCCCAGCCAATCAGGGCGCAGCATAGACTGTTGCCGTCCCCGTAGGGCCGGTTTTTCTACTTTGGAGGCTTCAGGGAAGCCTCCAGAGGGTGAAAAACGGCCTCAACGCCTCGCTTGCCGTGACAAATGGCTCCATGTGCCACCTGTTGTATGCATGCCATAGGTTCGCCATCACGACGTTAGGCCATATGAGACAGTATCTTTTTTGAAGCAACAATCTTAATTATTAATTGGTACATTTTGTTGCTTGGGATTTATTTATATTTTATCTTTGATTGGCAACAAACTGAAACAAATTAGGAGACCTAAGTCAATGATCTTGATATACAGCTATATATTACCATGTTTTCCCAAAAACAAAACAATGCGCTTGGTCTTATTTTTGGGGAGGTCTTATTATTTTTGAGATACAGGAAGTGGCCTAATGGCTGCTGCTATGTTGCAATATTTTGGGGAGGGCTTATTATCTGGGGAGGTCTTATTTTTGGGAAAACAGGGTATTATTTGTTATTGATCAAATCTGCTTTAGATTAATCTTCAGCACAACTATACAATCTTCATTCTATTTTTCTTTGATTTCTGAAATCATGATTTTAATTAAAATAAGTTGGTGCTTTATATTGTCAAATATTGGTCATAGTATGAGATTTCAGAAATTATTTTTAACTATAGTTTGGGAAACATTTTTAAATTTTAATTTATAGAATCACAATGGATAGCCTCAGCCATATTTTTGTTTGTTTTTCTTTCTTTGATGACCAAATATTGTATGAGCCAGGTGAGTACTAATCCTTGGAAATACATATTGTTTAAGTTATGACTAACAGATGTGACGCTAACTCGTTCCTTAGGCTTAACAGAGTTATTCAGAGGAGGGTGTTAGCAACGCACAGGGTTGGGCACATTGAACTTACACTGGAAGAGTCAGCAGCCCTAAAGAATATTTCTATTGTTCTAGTAAAACAATATCTTAGCAACCATGTTGAGTGTACATTTCAAAAGACCTGGTGCAATATGAGAAGTTTCTGTTTTCCTTGTAACCACAGCCTGAAGCTCTTACTGAGGAAAAAATACATGGAGAGAGAGAGAGAAAGTTAACCCATGTTCAAAATAATGTAGCTTATTACCTTGGAATTTTCCCCCAGCGATGGAATCTGATGTGGCTGATCACATGACTCGTCTGAAGCTCAAACTCCTTGAAAAGGTAAGCTGATTTTTCTACAATTATATCCTAGCATTAACTATCCAGTAATAGGACGGGGGGGGGGGGGGAAATCTAGCAATTAAAATGGGGATGTTTGCATTACAGTTAGTTTTGTCTTACTGATCATGTCAAGTATGCTATGTATGCACCTTTAGTCAAACATTCCTGATACTTTGGGCCTTTCCCAAATTTGTCTTGATTTCCTACCTGCCTATCAGAAAGTCTTACTATCATAAACTTTACTGTCCTATTGCCAAGCCATATCCTGCTTTTATTGCCTGTGTTCCGTAAACTACTTTGGAGGCACCAAGTGACAAAATTACACAGGCACTTGAAAAGTTGCCCAAGAAACATGTTAGAATATAGGAGGAAACCCTGCTTTTACACTGGTGTAGCTAAGGACAATTTTACACTGATTGCTGGCTAGGGTTAAGATATAAAGCAAGTTGTGAAGAAAGAAAATGGATGTCAGAGAACATTGATGCTATCAGTCTAAGATAAACATCTACTCTAATGCTGTACAATAGCAAATTGAGTTTTATATAATTCACATTTGTCTAAAGTTTGATTGTTTCCCGCAGATTCCTTTTCTTAAGAATCTACGTTTTTTACAATAAAAACTTAGCGTGTTAAAATTAATGTGAGAAGTTACAGGCTTTTTTAAAAAAAGAATCCTTCTATTATATTTTTCCACAGAAATTAGAAAATGAATGTGAAAACTTGAACAACTCTGAATCACCCTTTACAAGTAAGCAATTAAAGCATATTTGTACTAGAATTATGTATGATGTCGTCATGGATTGCAATAAAGAACTCTGCAGAACTAATCCCATCTGGATTTAATATTTGCCTAAAATATTTTATCACACAAAGTTTTATTGATCCGGTTACCTAATAAATTGCTACACTTATGGAGGATGAAAGTTAAAAATATCAGTGTTAACAAAAGCATTAATCTAGGATTGCAGTAGACTGTATATCTACTTGCAGAGCTGTCCTGAAATCTCCATATGGCAGTACTTTCCTCTTTCTAAGTATGTATATTGTTTTTATTACTTTTCATTATCTGTTTAATGTGTTCATACTTTATTATTAGCTGCTGGGAGTCCATCTGATCTGGGGTAGATTACAAATATTATTAAATAAATAAATAACAAACCTGGATTGGCTTGAGTTGCAAAAGCTCTGACCCAAAATATGACCCTCCTTTTCCAGTTCTTTCTCTTGCTTGCAATGCCAGCTTCTTCTTTAAGTGGAGTGGTGAGTTTCTGAATTCTGCAGGTTTGCAGTAGCTGTTTTGACTTATTCTAAGGAGGATGTGGGGATGAAAGAAGAAAAAAAACATCCTGTTTCCAGCAATTTTTATAGTGTTTAGAACTTCCCACCTTGAAAGGATGGATGCAAGTGACTGTAGATGCTATTATCCCATCTTGCTACAGTTTGTAGAGCATCACCATATATGACAGGTCCTCTGGAGTTTTCCCAGCAGCCAAGACAAAGCAGTGACAAGTTACAAATGAAAAAGTACTCTAAATGGGCCCTGAGGAGAATCGGAGCCTTTTTGATCCCTCTGCCCCCAGGTAGAAGCAACACATTTGCTCATGTCTTATTCCAACCTGTATTTGCCAAATGGAGAAAGCCTCCACAAGCTGCTCAGGATATCCATTGCCTCCTAAGGAGCAAATGTTTGTTCAAGTTGTTTTGCATGGCGAGTAATATGCCAGTTTTGCCCACTTTTTTCTCTTCACTCCTTTTTAAATGGCATATTAATGTCACCCATATTTTTTGCAGGGAATTATGACAATTATGGCTACGCCTTACAAAGCGCACTGAGAAGAAGGAAAGACCTTTTACAGCAGCTCAGAGTATGATATCTCTAATTCTTATCATTTTCTTTTAAAAATGGAATAAAATACACTTTCTTCTGCTCACTTTTTACTATGTTAATACAATGTTAACACAGAGTAGTTTAGTTCTTTCCCAGATAATATTATCAGTTTAGATAAGGTGTACTGGGAATTTAAGAAAAGTAAAAATTCTAGTGAAAAACAGAAACAGGAAGAAACAGAATATTAAATGGTATAGAATGAGTGGTACAAATGGCTAGAGGACAGGTTTAAAGCTTAAGGAAAGTCTAAATAAAGAAGACACAGGAGTTAGAAATTAACAATGTATAGATAGAGATGAACAAACATGTATAAATGGAATGAAGGATTGTAAATTAAGGACTGAATTTAATAGCATCATATGTATAGACAAAGAGAAACTGAAGTAAGGGGGGGAGAAGTACATTTACAATGGATGTATACCAAGGTAGAAATATTGTACAGAAGGAAATTGCAAAAAATATTTGTTCTTTTTATCTTTTTTAAAAAACTTTTCAATAAAATATCTATTTAAAAAAATTCTAGGGAAAACAAAGTAATGTTGAGTAGGTAAATTTGGGAGGAGAGGCAAGAAAACCATTTTTGCATCATGATTCTTTTTTTTAAAGAAAAATCTCTTATAGTACTTTTAAAGTTTAATAAAATTGGGAGGTGGAGTTATGCAGTATGACATCTATTTCCCTCCAATATGATGAATACAGTTAATGAAAAGTTTAATGTTCTTTTTTTTTTGCTAATGTCTTTAGCAAGAAAAGACTATATACTGGAAATGTTTTCAGTTTTTGTCTTGTTACAGATTGGTTTTCTTTAAGCAAATGTATGAGTTTAGAAAAACTATACTTTGTATTATAGGAACAAAATCTTTTGGAAGAGATTTCAGTACCACAATGTTTACCAAGAATTCATAAAAAACCCTTGAAGCCACATCATATCTACCAAATTCCTCTGCCTCCTCCTTCTCCTCCTCCTCTTCCTCCTCCTCCTCTTCTTCCTCCCCCTCCCCCTCAACAACCAAGAATTATACAGCAAACAGTAAGTGTTTTCTGCTTTATCTCAAGGAGAAACCAAAAAAAAACCCCATCAAACTAATCCAAGCAAAAACAATCGTGAGCAGCAAAAAATCATTATAAGACAAGTCTGGAACATCATTTCTTCCATACACCATGATTTCATAAGATCTCTTGGGGTAGTATTGAGCTGGTTCCAGATTTTATAACCAGCAACTTGATTAGAGATATTAATGATATCTGTAATATATTCACTATCTAATTTCTGCATATTACGGTAGGCTATGCAGGTTTCTACATATCAAGAAGGCTTTGTTGTGCCCTGATCAGATGACAATTCTTGATGAACAAAATTTGGGGGCAGATTTTAATTCCTTAACCCTAACCCTTAACAAATTACCCTGAAGATGACACCACATATTAATTGGTGAATGGTCCAACAGTGTAGACATTAAAGCACTTTAGCATTGGTATGATCTATTTAATATTGGAGATTTAAATAAACTTTATGTTCAATTTGAGTAGCATAATCTGAGATCCCAAAACCCTAGATACGACTCTTAGAATTGTACCAATCATGAACAACTGTAATTTTTAATGGAATATTGATTAAACACATGGAAAATAATACTCATAAGCATTTATATTGTTATGTTACATACTGTATTATCAAATCAATTTATATGGCTGCTACAAATACAATTCTGGGCAGCTATCAAAATATTAAAACAACAGAGAAAGAAATACAACATAAGTGTTATATTTAAAATGCTTGTGTTGTATTTCTTCCTCTATTGTTAAATTAAATCTAATCTAATTTTTTGTCCTGGTCATTCCCCACTTCTTTGTAATGATCGTCTTCTATAATGATCTTTTCAATCTTTGTGAATCAACATGCAATTCTTCAGAACATACAGCTTTGCTAGCCTCTCTTCTCTCCATTTAAACTCCTCCTATCTTTCACTGTTTGTTTGCTCAGCGAATTCTAAGTAAGAATAACATTTTAATTGTTTAATATGTTGTCCATTAACTTCATTCAGCTGCAGATATTCAGTAGGAATGGAGCTATGGTTTACATTTTAACTATTATTTTTTTTCTTTTGCAAGTTACCACAGCAACCAGCAACCATAATTCAACAAATACCTTCATATCAGCCACCACTCATTACACAGATTGCATCGCCACAGTCCTTTTCAGTACCCAGGTCTGGGAGTATTAAAGAAGGTATTTGTGTTCAAAAAGTATAACTATGTGTACACTGTAGGAATAACTCTCATTTAATATAGTAGAACTAACTCAGTAGTGGGTTGCCATTTTTTTTACTATTGGTTCGGGTATGCACAGAAGCGTCCGGGCGGGTGGGCGGATCCTCCCGGCACCACTACTACTGGTTCGCCTGATCCAGGCCGAACTGGGAGCAAACCACCTCTAACTAACTTCAAGTCCTAGGAAATATATCTAAGATTACAGTATGCTGCAGAGTTATAACCCTATGCAAATTGACTCAGAATTAAGCCCACTGGACAGAACTTGGACAGGATTGTTGATAGGGCTCCTATCTATGAACACAAATTTAAGAGTAAGATCGGTTTGATTCAGGAAGACTGAACAAGATTTTATTTCTTCCATTCAATTGTTTTTGATTCTCAGACACTGAACAAGCCCCTGGATTTTCTTGCCTAGGTTTTTCAGAAGTGGTTTGCCCTTGCCTCCTTCCTAGGGCTGAGAGAGAGTGACTGGCCTAAGATCACCTAGTTGGCTTTGGGCCTAAGACAGGAATAGAACTCACAGTCTCCTAGTTTCTAGATTGGTGCCTTAACCACTGGACTAAACTGGGTCTCAACTTTTAAGTAAAATGACCTAGAGAATGCCAAATATTCTTTTTTAATTCTCTCACTTATGAGGTTTGGGGATGCAATTTAAAAAGTAAAGAGTAGCTACGGAAAGTCTGGTTGAATAAGAGGAGCTTTCTTTACCCTTTCCTTTACTGTTAATCTGTGTCTGTGTGTGTTTGTGTTATGTACTGGATAAATTTAATACATGCAACAAAACAAGGACTTGTGAATAAGATAATGGCACTAAGTGACAGAAATCTAATTCTGCACACAAGTGCTAATCTTAAATTATAATCAGACAATCCAAATAAATACTGTAAATAAAGGGACAGAAAAGATTCAGTCACACCATTGACCAATGTAGCTTTGAAAAGAAATAAAACCCTTCATGGCACTTTCCCTGACAACTTTACTATACTGGCAGGGATGTCTACAGAGAGGATCAACAGCCTCAAAATGGCAGGCATAAGCAATAAGGCAGAATTGAGAATTTATTTAGTTCCCACCTTTATTATTTTTACATAATGATGCATGAACATATCAAACAAACCTTCCTCCTCCTATTTCCCCACAATGACAATCCTGTGAGGTGGTTTTCAAGGCAAAGGCAGGACTTTCTAACCTGGTGTCTTAACCACTAGACCAAATTGGCTACCATAATGGCATGCACGGGGCAGTTGTCTTCAGCCTGGGATCTCAGTACAGGTGCAGAGAATAGCTGAGAAAACTTTGCCAAAGATGTGGCTGCTTTAAGGAGCTACAAAAGATGCTACTTGAGCACTCTGCATACTCTAAATAAACATATATTACTTTGATATAATGTAGGCAAGTAGCTAAGAACCTGCTTGATTTTTTTCCCATTCAATTGAAAGATTTATGATGTCCTTTCCTCGATTCTGTCTGGGCAGACTTTGAAAATAAAGGATTTGTTGAACTAATTATTTCCTTCTTTGTTGAAGAACTCTGTGTACATCTGTAGTACATCCACTGTGTAACATATTCAAATTCTTAACATGTGTTATTGTTCATGCTTTTAAAATATAAATTTTGCAGCTCAGCTAATACTAGACTGCTTGTTTTTTAAAAAGGCGTTGATGTGAGAGATTATGCTGTTCAAATGGCTGTACTTCACCTTTTGGATTACATTATGTTCTCCATTATAACCATAGGATGGTCTTGAATTGTTCTTTATCCTTTATAGATATGGTAGAAATGATGCTAATGCAAAATGCACAGATGCATCAAATCATTATGCAGAACATGATGCTGAAATCATTACCACCAACATATTCACCAACTAGTGGGTACGGGGTCCCTATGCTTCAACAAGGACAACAGGTAGCTATTTTTTTAAAAAAAAATATTTTAATTACATAGACAACACATACACACAACAATAAAAAAACAAAAAGAAAAAAAGAAAAAAGAAAAAAAAACCATCATCACATACAGCATGTCGTTTGGTTACAGGTGTTTAACATTTATCATTCTTATACATTTATTATTTCATTTAATAGGTTATAATACACAGTTTGGGTTGCTTTGTTTACCATCCCTTCCTCCTGTTATAATACCACCTTATTTTCCCTTTCTTTTCTCCCTCCCTCCCTTCTCTACTTTCCTCCTTCCCCTTCCTTCTTCCCGTACCTTTCTCCTACTCCTGCTCTTCCTCTTCGTCTTTCTACCCTCTCTCCTCCTCTTTCTCTCCTTTCCATCCTCCTCTCCTTACCTCTTTCTTCTTTCCCCCGCCTTCCTTTCATTCTCTCCTCCTCTCTCCCTTTCTTTTTCTATCATTGTAGGTAGAAAAATAGGTAGCTATTTTTTTAAAGGACTTTCAGTAATAACTATTTAGTCTGAGTGATATTTGTACATTTATGTGTGCTAATCATTTTAATGGTCAGTGTTATTCAAATTGAGATTCTTAAAAGGCTGGATTATAGTGTACAGATAGTTCCCATTTAGGGATCAAAATTAGGACTGGCAGCTCTGTCATTAAGCAGAGTGGTGGCTAACAGACAAATCACACAAGTGGCACTACACTTCCCTTTTCTCCACTCCCTCACCTCTGAAATGCTCAGCCTGACACTGGGATAAATTAGCAAGAAGGGAATTCATGTTTCTAGTTACAATCATTAGAGAGGAAGGGATTACATGTGAGTAAGTAAGAAGGCACATTATGGGAAATATACATCCAAAGGAATGCACTGACACCAGGAGTCATGACAGAGGTGGTATTCAGTAGGTTCTCACCAGTTCTGAAGAACAGGTAGTGGAAATTTTGAGTAGTTCAGAGAACCAGTAAATACCACCTCTGACTAGCCCCACCCCCATCTATTCTCTGCCTCCCAAGTCCCAGCTGATTGGGAGGAAATGGGGATTTTGCAGTAACATTCCCCTGGAGTGGGGAGGGAATAGAGATTTCACAGTATCCTTCTCCTGCCACACCCACCAAGCCATGCCACACCCACAGAACTGGTAGTAAAAAATTTTTGAATTCCAACACTGAGTCATGAGTGTACTACATAAACAGCCTGCTGTATTCCCCATTGTGTGCCTGCTCATTTTTTATAATTCCTTCCACTCCATTCTCTCTGCTGTGTGATTTGGGGGGAGGGTAGCAATTTCTGTAGGCAATTTCTGCTGTATCTGATCCTTTTTTCACCTTCCCCCCCCCCAATTTGAAACCTAAGCTTTACAATACTTTAAAAATTCAGTACTGAAACTGCATAGACAACTGCATAGTAGTTTTTGCAAACTTCAAAAGTATATTAGCATTTCCAATCAAAACAACTGAAAGCACTATAGAATGAAATGTTTTGTGCTTATTCCAACATGAAACGTTGGCCCTCCCTCAGTGGAGTTTATTATGATGGGAAGTGAGTTTGTCACTGATTAATTAATGTATTTTATGAGTCTGAAACAAAGGAGAAAAAATGGATTTTAAACCATAAGCTTCAAATCAGGATCAAAATCATGGCATCATTTGACTTGATGTATTTAATATATTTTCCTTATTTTTTTAAAATTATCTGCAGCTTACTGCTCCTATTCCAACAAGAGTGGAGAAATCACGACCATCAACTGTACACCACCATCACTATACATCTTTAGGAGCACCAGTTATTCCTTCTCAAAGTGGCTTCCCTATGTGGCCATTAGTTCTGCAACCTGGTCATAGCCCACAACTGGAAGGTTTCCCATCTGAAGTACATAATCTACCCATTCCAGTTAATGCATCACACATGTAAGTCAAGCATTTGCCACAGTAGGAAAACTGGTTTCGAAGTTTTCTAAGACATTTGTTCTATTTGTTCCCTTTTTACAGTATTTCAGTTCAGGTATATTTCTGTATGTATTAGCCATAAAGAATCACAGAGCAACAACAATACGTTGTTGTGAAATATCAAAAGTCATCTCTTCAGGAATAGCAGGTTCTGTTATATTCCATTGTACCAATCTTATTTCAGTTTTCTAAGCAGATGTTAGGCCTTTGCAGCCTTTGAAAAGTTTCCTTATAGCAAGTCATATATGGATTACTTTCAATTGCTCAAAGGTGCACTAAAAAGGAAAAAATTAGATTAATCATATAAAGTTAGATCATGTAAATATATATTTCTAACGACACATTTTCCTTCCCAAAGTATGCCACCTCACAGACTGCTTGGATTACCTTCGGGTTTGTAGATTCCATAGCAACAATCTAGAAAAGGTAATTTGAGTATAGACTTCCTGTATTTATATCAGGGCTACGTCAGCATACCAGATTAGTCCTTTTCTGTCTGCTAACTCAATAGATTTGAGATTTTTAAAAATTGTTTCACTAGGCACAACTAACAGTAAATTGCCACATAACAGTGATGTTCCTCAGCTTGAGATTCTCTCATAACCTCGTTGAGCGTTTCTGCTTTCATAAAGTGAGGGCAGGATAAAGATGAACAATCCTGAAAAGGGTTTATAGGAGTACAAACACTTTGGTTAGACATGGTGGGAATTATAGCCCAACAACCCTTTAAGCTTGAGTTTGAACAATTGAACAATTCCAAATCTGTATCGCCTATTGAGGAGGAAAGTAAGCAAGCATCTTTTTCCAATTACTGTGTACAGCATAGGAGTTCTGGTTACATCTTGCATGAAACTTCAGTTTGTTCCACTGATGATTTTGTAGTAAGAATCTCCTGGAATGGCTGGTATAGAGAACTCCTGTTAGGGAAAACTAATCTGCATATTAGATAATGTAAGCTAATAAAGACAAAGCTGTAAGTTCCCACATTTGATGTGTTAGGTGCCATAACTGCGTAGCAATATTTGCTGAGTTAAAAATGTGAATGAAAATAGCATGTGGAGAATAGGTTGGAGAGTGTATTATGTGTCTTCTGAATGATTCCAGATAAAATATTGGCCCCAAAAGAAGCTGAGAAAATTTTCTTTTATCTGGAATGGCCCAGTCAGCACCTAGAGTTACTATATATTTTTAATAATTTTTCTGGATACATATTTAATTTTCCACCAGAATTAGCATGATGATGAATAGCTTATACAGTTCATCATTCTACCTGTGGCTATTCCTATGATTTTTAATTTTAAAATTAGATTAGTATGTTGCCTTTATAGAATTATTTATTTTATATTTTCATAGAGTAATAGAAAAATGTGTGGTTTATAGAAAACCTATGATGCAGACATAGTAAATAGTAAAACATAATGAAAAGACACATTATGCAATTGATTTCCATTATTAATGAACTTCTTGACACTAAAGATTTTATTCATGAAACTATCTGAGATGCAAGATTTTGGAGCTATAGAGAAGGAAAGAGAACTTCAGTAACATATATAAAAGCTTTTTTCAAATTACTTTTTTAGTTCCTTTCTTTTTAGCCCTCCATCACCATAGAAGTACACTATTACCTTGCTTAAATATTGTATACACACTAACTGGTTTCTCTTATAGGTGGCTTCCAAAGGGGCAATGAGTACCTAATTAAAAGCATTGGAGGTCTCTCATCTGATACTTCACTTCACTGCAGAGAGACAGAAATTATGCCCATTTGCTGAGAACATAGGGTTTGCAGTGAGCATAAAATTTCCACCTGATGCAACAGTCTTATGCATCAATTCTATTTGAGCTATACTACGTGATAAATATTGTGCACCATATCCTGTTCATTCACAGACATGAAAGAGGAGGAAGAATGCCATGGGAAAATAAGGAAAAGTGCGAGCATCCATGGCCATACTGGAAGCTATGAGTTACATAGCAGCAGTTGTATGGTAATAATTGGGAAGTGATGGAGACGCCTTTGTGCATTGTTCAATCTACCTAACAAAATTTTAAAAAGGACGTCAACAACAGAGCCTTTCACTGCAAGGTGTCTTCAGGAATGGTCCAACTAGGAGTTGATGGAAGATCACTGCTCTAATTACCCACCAAAAGGAAAGGGGGGGGGGTAGCATGGAGCACAGTGGCACAAATCTTCTCAAACAGTGGAAATAATGTTTGGTCATACAAAGAGAGTGATAAAAGTAAGTTAGCCAGAACTTTTGTAAAAGTGCATTGACTAGGGCATAAGGCTTGGAATCAGGAGCAGCAAAACAAACTCTATGAGAACAGGAAGAAAATAGTTGTGATTTAGCTAACAATAGTGTCATTATATGCAAAACAAAAGGGGGCCCAGAAATCAAAACTATTGTGCTGAATGTTCACAAAGAAATTCTTATATTGCAAAATAATAGAGAAGCTATGTGGCACTGATCATCCCTTTTCTTTTGTGCACATTAAATAATTCTGGATTATATGTGCATAATGTCCAAAGTTTAAAACTGTTAGGGCTTCTCACCAGAAGTGGTTTGGAGCCTTCTTTGCTATCTGAAAACATTATTGTTCTTTAGTGTCAGGCCCAAGCCCAAAGCCAACAGTGAAATCCAATTGACTCCAATTCTTTATTTGCTTACATGTAATAGAAAAAATCTTGCTAGACTACAGAAGATTATACTTCTAATCTAATAGCTAGAGAGCTAGAGATTCTAGAGCAGGGGTAGTCAACCTTTTTATACCTACCGCCCACTTTTGTATCTCTGCTAGTAGTAAAATTTTCTAACTGCCCACCCAGTTCCACCGTAATAGTAATTTATAAAGTAGGGAAGTCAATTAAATTAAAAAAAAGAAAGTGCTTTAGTATCGGACAAAACCCTTACCGCCCACCATGAAAGCTGGAACACCCACAAGTGGGCAGTGTGGACCAGGTTGACTACCACTGTTCTAGAATATAACCATCCTGATGCCATCCAGTCACTAAATGAACTGTTTTAAATCCTGGAGTCCTGGGGGAAAAAATTAATGCTGCCAGCCAGTGAATTTACTTCAGCAGCAGATCCCATTCATTCAGAAACTGAAAAAATCCTTGTCCTTTTCCTAATAATGACAATTCTACATTTCACATTCGGCTGTAGTTCTACAAGATCAAAATCCCTTTCAATCATTTTCCTGTGTCACTGGAGAGCTCTCCAACCTCCTCGTTAATTAAGAGATCTGAAAGGGAACTGAACCTGTCCTTCCTTGAATGCAAGTACAGATCTGCATAATCCAGGACCTAAATAAAAGGGAGTCCAGATTGTACTGACAGCTGTATTTGCCTTTCAGTAAACATTAGAACTCCCTTTCAGACCTATCACCTGAAGCATGCATGTCAGTTGGAGAAATTGGGGCAGGGTTGAATGTTATCCATCCTCCCCTAACTTTGAATTTTTCTCCATATTCAAGTCTCTGAATAAGATTTGTATTTCTTATGATATTCTGGCAATTAGAAGCAATTTTAGGAACACAGGTCCTTCTAATCAGTCTCAAAACTATTCTGCTTCTCGAGATCTACGATTCAGTATTATGCATGCAATATTGCAGAAAAGAAAGTTTCTCTGATGGTTCAGGCCACTTGTTATCAAATACAGCAAGAGTATATAGGGTATATGGAGAAGAGTTACAACAGTGATATAAGCAGCAGGCAATCTTCCAACTTTGAGCTAGGAGTTATCACGGGTGTCATGGAAACAAATGAGGATGGCATGTCTTGGCTTTGGGAGGCTCTGGTTTCTTAATGTTTAAACATCAAAAACCTTTTCTGAATCTTTCTTTTCCCCACAAATGGAAAGATATTGTGTTTTTTTGTTCATGACACTTTGCTACCAAAACCAGCAACAAACCAGGAAGTTGTTAAGTGAGATTTGCTCCATGTTATGACCTCTTTTGCCACAATTGTTAAACAAATTATTGCAATTATTAAATGAATCATGGTCATTAAGTGAATCTGGCTCCCTCATTGACTTTGCTTGTTGGAAACTGGCTGGGAAGATTACAAAGGGTGATCACATGACTCTAGAACAGTGCAATTGTCATAAATACATGCCAGTTGGCAAGTGCCCAAATTTTGATCACATAACCGTGGGGATGCTACAACGGTCATAAGTGTGAAACCTGATTATAAGTCAGTTTTTCAGTGCCACTGTAACTTTGAATGGTCACTAAATGAATGGTTGTAAGTCAAGGATTACATGAATGGCCCTCAAGTTTCCACTTAGGAGTTCTGCTTTGGAGCATGAATTTGCTCCTGAGCAATGCCTGTGTCTGAGCATCCCCAACTGTGTATGTGAGGCTTGTAGTTCTTCAATTGTCTCTTGAGTGATTTGACAATCTATGTTAAAGTTTTAGAAGATCAGATGTTAGTGATAGCTCAAGTTCTTGAATGGGAAGTCAATACTCTCAGGGCAAATGTCTTTCCTTTAGGGCTCTCAGATTGTGACTGCAAAACCTTAGATGACTACTAGGTGGCAGCAGAGGCCTGCATGAAAGTCTAAGTCTAAATTTATGGGTGGATGTTTGCAGGACTCCCTATTTTTTGTTTGTTTGTTTGTTTGTTTCTGTTGTCCTCCATTCTGTATTGTAAGTGAATATGAAATGGGAATTGAGATACCTAATACCCAGTTGTGTGCCTTATCATTTGATGATGGTCTCCTTGATTATCTGCAGTTATGTGTATAGGATGAGAGTATAAATTCAGTGTAATTTACAGGTACCATTTCCCCCCATACATTGACATTCTGTGCCAAATTCAACGAAACATACAATATTTACAGTTATTGTAAATTCCAAAATTAAAGTTAAGAACCTGGGGTTATGGACCATCAAGAAGATTGGCAAAAGTTTGGTGTAGTGGTTAAGGCACTAGGCTAGAAAGCAGCAGACCATGAGTTCAGGCCTTGTCTTATCCATGAAAGCCAGCCCAACTCACTTCATAAGGCTGTTGTTATGGGGAAAATAGGAAGAGAAAGATGTGTTGGATATGTTCACCACTTTGAGTTGTTTGTAAACATAATAAAGGTGAGATATAAATACATTTTTAAAAAGCAGTAGTGGAAAAAGACTGAGAAGATTGGGTATTGGGCTTGTGGGAAAATGCTTAGAAGATGTGGTAGCACTATGAATTTAATACCAATTTTTACCCTTGCAGAAGAGTAGAAACAGAACAAGAATTTGTAGTTGAACAAATATAACTCAAATTCTGGTACCTACTTTTCTACCAATGTTACATCTCAAACAAAATCTTATAGAATTGCATTATAAATTGATTTTAAAAAAAATTATTTGCATCTGTTCAATCTGATACATTTTGTTTTTTCCTGGGATTGCAGTTCCAACCATTAAATTAATGGGGTGATTGGAAAGACTAAATCATTCAAAATAAATGCATTTTTCTATGCTTGTTTCACCAATTTATATTATAAATCATTATATTGTTCTCATGTAAGATTGAAATACTGTGTATTCAGAACTCAAAATAAACAAATGATATTCCCGATAAAGAAACACTGAAGTTTAGTATTTCTTTGCTATTACTGCCCTATTTTACATGCATAGCCAAAAAGGAACAAGCAGAATAAAGTGTTTAATTCATTGTTGCTTTTCAACATTGAATGTGTTTTGGGAGGGGGATTAAAAGATCAAGAATGCATCTGACACAACTTCCCTCCCCCTCGTTGCGCTGGCCTTGTGATGTTCAGGGAAGTAGATAAGGGTTGGGGGAGATATTCTATCACAATGACATGACATTAAAACATGAAGTTGGAGAGTCAGCTATTGCATTCAATAGCGCAATTGCTTTACAAATTACAAGTGACAATTGCTTTTACTGTGCTTTGTGTCACATGTTAAACTAATCCAGATTATAGCATACCACAATTTGTGAAGCCGTTCCATGGTGTGGCTGATAACTAGGAGGCTCTTGAACAGATTACGAGTACCTACACTGAAAAGAAAGAAGAAAAAGACACCCCAGCCAGCTCTGATAATTTTAAAAAATGGATTCACAACAGGAGCTGAGTGATACCGTGTTCCCCAAAAATACAACATGTCCTGAAACTAAGGCCATGCCAGATTTTCGCGGTGGGCAAAAATATAAACCTTCCCCTGAAAATAAACCCGTGAAGGGGTGGGTTTAGCCAGAACAGAGGGCAGCCCTTCCCTTCCCCATCACCTCACGGCTTCTTGGCTCCTTAATAGGATCAGCTGGTTCACAAAACAGCTGATTCACGGGTGCTGCTAAGGCCTCCTGCCTCCAGCAAAGGCCGATCGCTTTTGCAGCCAATTGGGGCTGCAAAAGAAGCCAGAGGCCAAGCAACACAACCCAAATGCCCTCCTTACATAATGGTGACAGTCACAGCTCGCAATTCCATCCACGGAACAGGAAAAGAAGGTGTGGAAATTAATACATCTGGGACATCGGAAGAAGCCCTGCAAGGAGACGCTGCTGCTGATGTGCAGGAAATCTCCCCCCCCCCCCACACACACCTGCGGATTCTCCTTTCAAAGAGGAGTTTCACCAGGACTAAGAGGTGA